CTCGTCTGCAGACAAAGAATATTGTTCAGGTTAGACCCTTGACCCCACTCTTATAAAAAAAAAAAACAAAATTTAAAAAATATACCTACTATATATACACACCCATTTTGATTGCAACAAACACTTAATTTATTTCCGAATGCGTTTCCTATATGCTGGGCTTAAAAAGGAAGATTGAATGTTTTATGAGGCAGTCCAGAGCTAGTTACAGGGTATATCTGCTTCGAGCTATGTGCACTGAGCATGTTTATTGTATTTTTTTGTGTGTGGACTATTCGAGGCCTCCTTTGACTGCGGCTTCCGTTCATTTATCTTCTTTATGAATAGCTGATGTTCTTGTTCTTGTTGTTGTTGTCGTTGTTGTTTTTGTTGTTACTGGTTTTGTTGTTGTTGCGTTTTCTTATTGTGCGCTGCCTAATTTGCTTAAGAAATTCGCAATGCCAACTGTTGTGTAAAAACGTTCTCATGGCAAACCAGCGGGAAAAATTCAAATATTTCTTAATCCTAAGTTAATTAAATTTACTTTAATTAGGCCTTGAATGTCATTTAGTGTCAAAATGTTGCTACATGGTGTCTGCACTTCGGACACTTTTTTTTTTTCAAAAAATGATGACAGGTCCTTCAATGGCACGGGCCGATCAGGTTTGTTTCAAATCTTCGATAGCTTTGCTTTTTGAGGGTATCTGCTAGTCGGACACTCCCAACTTATTGTTTGTGTTTATTGTTTCGCATAAGTGATCTATTTTAAAATGAGTATTTGTATTTTAAAAGTATTTAAAGAGTTTTCTTAGAGCATTTTAATTAACAAATGGTTCATTTATAAATGGAAACATTTCTTCCAAAACTTCTTTTAAGTTTCTGCTGCACTTGAGCTTAAAATGTTGCCCAACATGATGCAGATGATAATTTGGCGCTGTTTCAATCTTCATAACCGATGAGTATCCAATCAGCGCGACGGGATTCGGTTGAGCGTGTACAGCGGGTGCAGCGGGTGCAGTCGATGGAGCCCCTTTTACCTTTCACCCAACAGTGATCGGATCGATGCATGCTATAAATTCCAATGCTTGCCGTTCGATTGCTGTGAAAGGAGAAAGTTGCTGTGCAACAGTGCCACAAGCGGCAGGAACGCAGCGTGGATGCAACAAAAGGCGGTGGCTTTCACACGCCGCCGCCGCCGCTGCCATTGCCTATTGATGCAACAGGTGCAGCAGCAGCAGCAGCAGCTGTGCAGATTGCACTGGCTCGTTGGCCAAGTGGGCGGTTGCGCCCACTGGAATTGGGTAATGGACCGAGTGGTGCGAAGGGGAAGAGGTGAATCACGATTTTGCGTGCATTTAATTGTGCGTAATTATTCACTTTGGTTGTTATGCCAACAACTGTGGCCCTTGCGCACCGTCTACGGCTCTTAATTGGCTAAGCCGTCGCCTGCTAATTGCCCAACGGTCAGACCGTCCCGTCCCGTTCCGATCTCCCTCAGCCCGTCCCTAACTTTTGCGCCCCATCCGTCCCGTTCCGTCGCGTTCAACATTTCCATGTAATAGGTGTCTAACATGTGTTGCCGCCTAAAGTGTTTGCTTACATTACGTTTTCATTATGTAGTTCTCACGTAATTCATAATCGGGCTATTAGCGATAACTAACTAGGTTAGCATCAAGCGAAGAGAAACAAATTACAGAAAGACTCCAAGGGTTAAGTCTCGCTGGGGCCTACTAATTGAAAAGGCTGTCTGTATATTTTTTCTTTAATGAATGCGAAAAGATAACTTTGATTGCGTTTGTTTAGGAAAAAAACAGGAACTTCAGATGGGAATTAATTTTATTAAAAATAAAGCAAAAGCCGAATTAGCTTGAATAAGTTACAATAGTCTGTCTCAAAGTTTCAAGTATTCATCTTAAGCAATTCACAAATTCACGCTTAAGAATAAAAAAATTAGAGGTGTTACCAATGTATAATGCATTAGATGTATTCCCTCAGCTAGTTGGCTTTTCCATATAGTCGCTATTCCTGATATTGATAATCGCAATCTTTAACTTAATCGACAGAATTTAACAGAATCCATGCATTGTATATCCACAATATTGTTCTGAGTAAACGAAAGTGAAAAGGTGAAAGAGTTAACTTGCGCAACGTGCTTGCTTTTTACTGCCATATTTATTTTTACTTGACAGTTTTCACTCTACATTCTCTTTCTCTCTCCAACACACACATTCTCGGGCTGTCTTGTAGGTCAAGTGCAAGCTTTGACAAATTGTTTATACGCGTCTTATACAATTTAGTTGCATTTGAAAGGCGCTGACATTAAATAAAAATAACACCTGACTGAAGCACTCAAATATCACACCCCCCCTCCACCCACACACCTATCAGCTAGCTTTGTAACTCCCCACACAAGTGTCACCATAAACGATTGCTCAATGACGCCAGAGCTTTCGTTTAGCTGCTTTCTTTCTCTATTTCCCTCTCCCTCTATTTTGTACGGTCTGCATGAGTGTCCACGCAGCGCTTACATTTATTCTCAGGCTCTCTCTCTCTCTGGTTCAGTACTTTTTTGCTTCGGTACCCTTTGGAACTTTCCAGTTGAGTAAATGTGTCTCGGAGTGTCAAAAGCTATATTTATATATATATATACAGACTTAAATATGTACATGTATCTCTATAAGCCGGCAGCTGTTGGCGCTGACAGAACGTCATCATCACCTTTCCCGGCAGCGCATCATTGTAATTTGGAATGCCATCGCTACCGTGACGTCACAGCGCAGACAGCGGCAGCGTGGGAGAAGTACAAAGCGAAAAGCACTGAGAACCGAAAATTGAGCGTACGCTTTACGTTGATAGGTTGTTGTTATATTATTATTTTATCTATTATTTCTTGTTTCTGCCGTTTGTCTACGTGCTTTAAAACATGCCGCTGCCGCTGCCGCTGCTATTGCACACTGGACAAAATTCCAATAAAATGCAAGCATTGTACAGAATAAAGCTCAGGCTTTACAAATTCGCTGTGCAATAAAATTACAATATATATATATATATATACATATACATTTAAATATATATATATATTTTAATTTTATGTTGATATTATTACTGACAAGCTCGTCGTTTGAATTGAACTTTAAGTGAACTCTGAACTTTTTTGCGTTTACCACTGTGCGATGCTCGCTTGGCGTCGTCAATGTTTACACTTTGCAGCTCGGGCAGTTTGTTGTTGTGAAGTTCTGTTTGAGCTATATATATATATATATATATATATATATATGTGTGTGCATGAGTGCGTACGTGCGTGCGTATTTGTGTTATTGGCTTCTCGATTTTTCTGAGCAGCGAGAGAGCAAGCAACACAATGAAGCGATGAGAGCTGAAAAGTCGACAGCTGTTTGTTGTTGTCGGCAAAGAAGCCATGGCTGCCTGTGCGAGTCAATGGCACAAATACATATACGCAAGCGCACACACACGTACACGTGTATGCAGAGGACGGCAGTCAAGCTTGCGTTAGCGCCACCTGTCGGCGGTTTGATGATATCCTCCAATGTATTTACGAACCCTTGACCGACCGAACGAACACTCTTCTAAACCCCCCTTCAATCTAATCAACTATGTACTTAACAAGTGGGTGACTTTTGCACCTTTTGCCAGGGGGTGGGCAGGCAGGCATGGTGCAGCAGTCCGTAGAGGCATGGCTGAACGCCTGGGGTAAAACACACAACACTTTATTAAAGTCAAAAAAAAAAAAAAGATGTTCGTTTAAAATTGGAAATGCGCTTTAAAAACCCGAAACAAACAAAATATTCGATAATAATCGCAACAAAAATAAAACCAAGGAAAAAATACGCGCGCGGAAAAAGCGTCATTAGAAAAAACGCGAAACACCAAATAAATAAACAAAAAAAAAAATAAATATATTTTACCTTGTTGCAAGTTTTACGAGCCGGCTTGCCTTGTGACCTCTGCTTAACAAATAAAATTGTGTTTTTCTCGTTGTGTTTTTTTATAGCAAAGGAAAATGGGAAATAATTAAAAAAAAACTAAATCAAAAAAAGCAAAAATTATCGAAATAAATAGTTGCCTTAACAATGAAACTTCCTTGTTGACATTATAAACATACAATATATACAAAAGTAATTAACATATATACACCACAAATATTATACATATATACAAGATTATATAAATCTATATACAAGCTATATTTTTAATACAAAAATTAAAAAAATAAATAAAAAAAAAAAAACATAAACGCAATGCGCCTAAAAGAGACCACAAAAAAATCACCAACTCTGCTGCCGCTGTCGGGCGAGCTGTTCAAAACGCTGCGCATATCGCCGCCAACCATTGCGCAACAGCAGCAGCAGCAGCAGCTGCTACAGCAACAGCAGCAGATACAGCAGCAATATCTACAACAGCAGCAGCAGCAACAATTGCAGCAACGTTGCAGCAGCGTGGGCAGCACCAGCAGCAGCGGCACCTGCGAAACGGAACGCTCCACACAATCAACATCGGCGTCGTCGTCTGCTCTGTCGCCGTTGGCCGCGATGGCAGCGATGCCCACAATGCCAACGCTGCCCGCCGGCGTTGATGAGGCGGCAGCCGCGGCAGCGCTGGCGGCCAACATAGCCGAGTCGTTTACGTTTTTGCAACAGCATGCGGCGCATCATTTTCGCGACATTTTGTATGCGGCCCACATGCTGGGAAGAGGTAAAAACCACAGCGGTGCGGGTTGGGTGGTGCGCGGGGTGCTTGCCGGGATATTATACTAGGCTAAGATTGTTGCACGACCAGCTGTGTGGCTTGCTTAACTAGTTTTTTTTTCAACTGTTTCTTCTTTTTTTTTTTTTTTTAGTCTTTTGTTAAGTTTTTTTTTTTGTTTTTTGGCCAACCAACCGACCAACTTTCACTTTATGCTTGGTTGCCGCATTTCACTTGGCTCAGGCGGCAGCTTAATAAAAATTCAAGCATTTACTGATTGCTGCTTCTTCCTTTTGCTTCTTCAAATTTTCTTGCAGGCTACTATCAGCCGGCGGGTCCGCTGATCTCGCCGCATGTCATTGCGCCACCGCCACCGCCAGCAACAACAGCAGCAGCCGCCCAGGCAGCAGCAGCAGCAGCGGCGGCAGCAGCCGCAGCAGCAGCAGCAGCTGCGTCCACGCCACAGCCAGTTAAGAAGCTACCCGAGGACGAATCCCCGACGCATCCATCTAACAACGCCGCACAGCAGTCCCAACAGCAGCAGCAGCAGCAAGTTGCTGGTAGCGCTGAGGTTGAGCCGCCAGCGTCCGCCCAGCAGCAACAGCAGCCGCAGCAACCGCAGCCGCAGCAACCGCATCCATATCCCGGGGCTAACGCTGTGGCGGCTGCTGCAGCGGCCGCTGCGGGTCATCCGGGTGTGCCGTATCCGCGCTCCATGCATGCGGCCCAGATGCACTATTCGACGGCATATCCGCCCAACTATTATTCACCGTATCCGGGCGAGGTCATGTGCTACTCGCCACCTGCGTATCAGCCCTATTTCTCGAGCAAGGTATATCAGAGCGGACCGCCGCCACCGCCGGCACATCCGGCTGCACATCCGCCGCCGCCGCCACCGCCGGGCGCCTATCGACGCTATCCGTATTATCAGCACGCTGGGCCGCCGCATCCACCGCCGCCCGAGCTTTACGAACAGCAACCGCCGCCGCCGCCACCGCAAGGGGTGCCGCCGCAACAGCAGCCGGCCTCGATTGCAGCAGCCGCCGCTGCCGCAGCCGCAGCGGCAGCTGCAGCCGCCGCAGCTGGTGCAACGCCCGCACCAGCCGGCTCACAGCTGGTCCCCGCACACCAGCAACAGCATCTGGAACATTATCCGGGACCGCCCAGCTACTACGCCGGCTATAGTCCAGGAGGCGGCAGTGCCGCCGGCCAGTGCTACACACGCGGCCTGCAGGGTCCGTATATGGGTAAGGAAAAGTATGGTTCTTATACGGATCCACAGATTCTTAGGGATAACAAGCACTCCATAGAAGCTTCCCTAGTTGTAGATCCCGCCGGAAGTCCTGAGGTCAACCAATAGACATTTTTACTTTTAATAACTTCTTATCTAGACAGTTTACGACATTGCGAACATTGCTTAAAATGATTCTGAACGATACTTCTTAATTTTATTAATTATAATTATATTGAGATAAAGTTCGATTAACGGGCGAGGCAAGGTGAAGGACTATCAAAAGGATATTTTTCCTTAATTTCCATTAATAAAATTTGGTTTCTATAGAAGAACACACTTTCAACTTAAAGCAAATCTTACAAGTCCCGCTCCTAAAAGTGTAGCCTTATATCGTGGGATCTATATTAATATTATCAAGTAAATAAATCAACATAAATGGTTGGCGGCAAAGCGTTTTACAGGAATTAAGTCTTGAGCTTAAAGTTTTTGAGATTTTTGCAGGTCTATGTAGAAATTAAGTCAAAAATCTCAGAAATACAAGCTATCACATTGGAGCACTTGGATTCGTTCCCAATTCCGTTCGAAGAGGTGGGTGCCAAGTCACAGGCTAGTCTTATTGTACTCTCGTTTGTTTACATTGGATCTCTGTTAATTTCCAATTGTCAGCAAAAGGTATTTTATGAATCAAGAAAGTTTTCTTTTTCTGTTTCCAGTCTTGAATCTAGAAGTCATTTGCAGTAAACCAAAAAGTGTATGAGGCCTTTAGTCATCATGTATATACATGTATATATATAATAAATATAATATGCATAAAAGTAAATCCTCTTAAAGTCTTCCCTTCATAACTAACATATTTGTGTTATATTTTCTTTTTCTGCCGCTACAGAGTATCCGCCGCAGTGTCCGTGTCCAATGCAACAATCGTGTCCAAAAAACGTCCATACTGGGCCTCATATTGGTAGCAACAGCAGCAGCAGCAACAACAACAGCAGCAGCAGCAGCAGCAACAGCAGCAACAACAGTTCCACGAGCAGCCATAGCCAGAGTTTGCTGCTGAGTGCTACGAGCAACAACAGCAGCAACATGCCTGTGCATGGCAGCCAGTCGAGCAGCGATGGCAGCTTGACTGCCAGCAACTGCAACAGCAGCAGCAACAGTTTAGCAGTTACAGCAACAGCATCAGCAACAGAGACATCGTCAACAACACCAACAACAACGACAACAGCGCTGACTACCAGTAGAGGCCCAGTTAAAAATGGCATCAATAACAACAATAAAAGCAAAGACACGACAACAATGACAGCAACAACACCAACGGCGACGGCAGCAACCAACACAACAGCAACAGTTGCATCTGTTGCCACGTCGGCAACAACAACCACCAACAACATGGGCACCCAGTGCCAAATGCTGGTCAAAACGGAGCTCAAGAGCGACGTCGAGTGCCAAGTGACCAAAATGCAATACGAGGCGCATGTAATGCCGCCGCCAACGCCGCCCGAAAGCTACTGTGCCGGCGATGATAAATTGCTGGAGGATCAGGAGCAGGAACACGAACAGGAGCAGCAACAGCAACAATTGCAGCTGCAGCAACAGCCAAAGGATATCGAGTCCTATGATTTGACGGGCAGCACACCGCCGCCGCCAGTTGTGTTGCCACGCAAGGCGCGCATTGGCAAGAGCATGGCCAGGGAAATGGTCTATGCGGCACAGCAGCAACAGCAACCGTTGTTGCAGCAACAGCACCAACAACAACAACAACAGCAACTGCTTAGCAAGCACGCAGAAGCAGAACCACAATTGCCTTTTGTACTTAAAGCAGAAATCAAAGCGGAGACCAAAATCAAAATCGAGCACGATGAACTAGCAGCAGCAGCAGTCGCAGCTGCATCAGTTGCTTTAACGGCAGCAACATGCAACACACATATCAGCAAACTGCCGGATCTGAAGCCCACAATCAAAACAGAACCAGAGCTTGATTTGGAGAAGCCAAACCCGCAGCAGGAGAAGGAGCAGCTGCCGCAACAGGATCAATTGCCGCCCACCAACAGCAGCAGCAGCAGCAGCAATGTTGACGCTAGCAGCAACAGCAATTGCAACAGCAACAAGCGCATCAATTTGCTTGCATCGGCAACGCAGGGCAAAAAGTCAAAGGCGCACAGCTACAAGAGTCTCATCAAGCAGGCGGAGCCAAAGAACTATCTCTGTACCGGTCGCAAATTTGTGCAGCGCTATGGACGAACGCCGGCCAAATATGTAAAACGACGGCAAATGTTGCTAACGCAGCAGCAGCAACGTTTGCGCGCGCAGCGACGCGAGCAACTGCAGCAACGCAAACAACAGCAGCAACAGCAGCAGCAGCAGGAACTGACGGCGGCAACAGCAGCACAGCCAACAGTAGCCGCAGCAGTTGCAGATGAGGCAACAGCAAGCGCTGCAACAACAACAACAGCAGCAGCAGCAGCGACAGCTAATAGCTGCTCGCCCAGCGCATCGCCAAAGCGTGCGCGTCCACGTAAACAGGCAATTGCAGCACTGCATCTGCTGGAGAGCCTGGACACGACATTGACACGCGGCTATTTCAGCGATCCGGAGCTGAACAGCAGCAGCTGCAGCAACAGCCGCGGCACAGCAGCAACAGTTGGCCTGTACGCGCCGGCAATACCATCGCCATTGCTGGCGCCGCAGCCGGCGCTGTTGAGCGAGAAGCGCTCCAAGTCGGAGACGAAAAAACCGCTGCTCGCAGCGAACTGTGCGGCGAGCGTTGCTTTGGCGTCGCTGGCGACAACGTTGCCCACAAAGTCTACCTCAGCTGGCGTCGAGCCGCCGGCCAAAAAGTCGCGCAAGCAGCCGCCTAAGGCCAAGGCCAGGCCGACAACGGCCAAAAGCCGAAAAGCAGTAACATCAGCATCTGTAGGAGCTGCAGCAACTACAGCAAGTGCAGCAGCAGCAGCAGCAGCAGCTGCAGCTGATGCCGAGACCAATAACAATGAGTATCAGATGGCAGATTTGCAGGTGCAAAAACTAAGTGCCACGCCCACAGTGCCAGTTGTCGATGCTGTGCAACAATTGTTGCCAGACGAAACGGTAGCCACCGTCGCAGTCGCAGCAGCAACTCATCCGCCACAACATTCCGATGAGCAACAACACAAGTTCCTGGTGCCCCACAAGCCAATCGAGACACCTTTAACGCCCACAGCAATGGCAACAAATGCAACGCTAGCGTCCTCGACGCGTCACGCCCCCACAACAACAACAACCACAACAACAACAACGCACACAAAACGGGCGCGTTCTCGCTGCAAATTTGGCAACCGAAAGAAACAACGCCATCGTCCAGGCGGCGTCAGCTACGAGCTGGACGAGACGCAGCCGCCGGCAACGCGGGCGAATGTGGTGCCCAAATGGAACAACGGCTGGATGTGGGCGGGCAAGGCGTTCCAGGGTCCAGTGTTTCTCAATGTGAGTCACGAGTCAATTTCTATGCATAAAAGTCAAATGTTAATATCTCTCTTTCTCTCTCACCTCTCGCTCACACACACTTTCTTCGTGCCTGTAGAGCGATGATCCGTTGGTGCTGCGCACTTGCTACCCGGCCATGCGGCATGTGGAGGGCGACATCATTCGTACACGTGACTGTGTTTTGCTGAAGGCCAACGAGGACAACGAGCTGCCCTATGTGGCCAAGGTAGCGCATCTCTGGCAGAATCCTGAGGATGGTAAGCACTGCAACTGCAACTGGACAGGTTTAAAAAAAAAAACAGAAAGTAGGGCTAGGGATTTTATTTTTATATTTGGCCTAGCTAGTATACAAATATTTAAGAATCTTTCTTCGTTCATAATCTGAATCCTTATATTATTAATTATTGAGAATCAATGTTCGAACTGAACCTAAGGGCAAGACATTGGTTCGAACGCGTACCGAAAGACAGAAGTTGTTGATTTAATTAATTAGATACAATTTTCGAAAACTGAACTAGTTCTCTGGCATATTGTGAACTAGTTCTTGAGCATATTGTGAACCAAAGGTGTTTAAATATAAAAGTCCTGTAAGAAGAATACATCAGAGAGTAATTGATAAAGAACATGTTTTAAATAAGAAATTAACAAAAAGAGAACTAGTTCATTAGTAAGCATGGCCTTAGAAATTGAAAAAAATAAAAATTAACGAAAATTTTGTTAGGCAAAAAACTAGTATGAGGAAAACTAGTTCATTGGGTGAGAAAAAGTAATTGATAAAGTTAATTTATTTAATAATGAAAAAAGTAATTGATAAAGGAAATTTTATATAATAAGAAACTTAATACAAGAAAATTAGTTCATTAGCGAGCATATGCTTATTTAAGGGAAACACATAAATTCTCATATTATAAAGTTAATGAACTGGTTCATTTTCTTGAGAAAAACGTTTATTTAGAAACGTGTTCGTTGTGTACTAAAGAAAATGAAAGGTCGCATCGAAGTTAAAAATTATTAAAAATACTTAAGCGTAAATGAGCTAAATGAGCTTTTGGCGAATATTTAAATGGAGCGCTTCTAATTATTTGGGCACTATTCCAGGCGAAATGATGATGTCCCTGCTATGGTATTATCGCCCCGAGCACACGGACCAGGGCCGCCAGCGCAATGACTGCCCGGACGAGGTGTACGCGTCGCGTCATCGGGATCACAACTCGGTGGCCTGCATTGAGGATAAGTGCTACGTGCTGACCTTTAGCGAATATTGCAGGTAAGTTGGCGCTGGGTGAACATTTAAGTTGGATCAGATTAACTAATGCCAAGTCCCAACAATTCCAACAGATATCGACGACGCCTGCGCGCGGCCGAAGAGGATGTGGAGGATGTGAGCATTGTGCCGCGACGCAGCAATACAAGCAATTGTTTTACGGTACGCACCGTTCCGGATCAAACGAATCCGGAGCTGGTCATGTTCTGCAGACGTGCCTATGAATTTCGCACGCGTCGCCTACTCAAGCTTCCGCAGAAGAACGCGCTGGTCTGCAGCTAGCGCCGGGCCACTTAGGGTCTTGCCCTAACCGAAAATCAAAGCAAATTTAAGAATGCGCTGAGGAGAGGCGAGTGCGGCATGGTGCAGTCCAAGCCATGTCACAAACAACAGCCTGGGCAGACGAGAACGAGCCAAGACAAAACACATAACACACACACACACGCACACACCCAAACAAGCACACACACACGCACACACCCAAACAAACACAAATACACGACCAAAATGGGGAGAGCAAAATGAATGGAAAATAGAAAATGTAACTGGAGAAACTACACAGTTTTTTTTCAAGTAATTTTTGTATTACCCAACTTATTATTTATTATGTGCCCGGCAACAACAAAAGCACACACACACACACACAAACACACTCACACACACACACCTTGTTATTAAGTTAAATGTATTTATTATTCTTAAGTTTAGTCAGCAATCTTTTTTTCCGCTCCTTTACTCTATATGTTTATGTTTTTTTTTCTATATATATATATTTTTTTTTATTGACTACTCTCCAAAAAACTTATTTAATGCTCAGGCAAACACTTTGCGCACACTGCTCCAACTGGCAAAATCTTTGTAAAACGACTTGGAAACAAGAAGAAGGAAAATCCTTTGAAGTGAAAAAACTTAACACAATTCTACGCGCTGTTGGTTTTTTTGTTGTTAGTTTTTGTAAGCGAAAAAAAGAAAATTGAAATGAAAACAGCAGAGAAAGCACTTTTTTTTTTGTTTTTAATTTTATATATTTGAGCAAAATACTTTGGGAAATTTGATTTCTGCAACCAATTATATAAATATATTTAGTTTTTACATACATACATAATGTAGACCAAATTAAGTACATATACTATTTTTTTTTAATATTTTATAAAAGGAAAAACTTAAGCTACGTGCATAATTTATACATTTGATGAAAGCATTAACTTTAAGTACGAGTTACACAAATCCTTAATGAACAGAAAAAAAAAAAACAAAACAAAATAACAACAACAACAAGTCACATACATTAACAAATGTATTTTAATATATACATATATATATATATTAATATTATTTAATTTTAATGCCTAAGCTCTTAGTTTGAAAGCAATTGAAAATCATTTGTTTTATACCAAATACAAAATAATTTATGCACCTAATTTAGAAACAAACAAACACACACACATACACACACAAAAGCAACTACATATATAAATATATGCACTTGTGTATTATCTATATATTATTATTATTATCATTATTATTTTTTATTATGATTTTGATTATGATTTTTTGTAATATATTTTTTATTTACTATTGAAACAAACGCTCATAATAAAAATACATTTTAATCGAGCCAATGCGTCTTACCTTGCAGACCTCAGATCAAGAATTTACTATGATAAAAAAACCCGTAACTTTTTATGTTTTAAAAGTTTATTCAAAGTTTTAGATTGTTTTCCAGTTAATGCGACATGCTGTCCTGAGTTATGCTCTGGTTTAAGCCAGTTGCGAATTAAAGAAGCGCTGGAGTTTTAGCTCAGGATATAGTATGTTATTTGAATAATACGCACACGGCATTATGGTCGAAATTTTACTTTAAAATATATCTCACAGAAATAGATTGTTTCTAGAATATTTTAAAAAAGAACATACGTACTTTAAGAAGATTAGGAAGCTTATGTTTTTGAAACTCCTTTAAGTATGCCATTTAAAATATATCGAAAATGTGTAAATTTGGGCGTATTTGATGAGAGTGCGAAATTTATAAGAAACCTAGGCGTATGTATCTCAGCGTCTAAATTCCGGTTGACAAGCAATCATACAGAAATATGCAATAATATATACTGACCAGGATAAAATTAAGAACCATTTGTGCTGTGGTAGTTTTATTTAATGTTTACATGCTTCTAAAAAAAATGCAATGGACATTTCTGTGATTTTCATGCGAAAATGAAACTCGGAACATAAACGAAATAAGGAATATCAAATGTGTTCTATATTTGAAATATTTGAGTTCTCCAAGACAGTTCTTTGTAAAAGAAGAATGTGTTTCTTCTTTAAGTATGTTAAATGACATAAACATTGAATAAATTCCGGTACAGGTTAGGGAAAAATTGAAAATTTTCCAGTTTTCAAAATATATTAGCATACTTTTAGGCTGCAAGGATTTATGTTTAATTTTGTAATCTGATCGTGTTCATGTTGGGCATCTACTTAAGCTGGTTTACGCTGTGCAAAGCCAAAGCAATTTAGTAGCAGGCATAGAGTATATATATCTATATAAATATATATATTTATATATACGTAAATACATATTAACAAGTAGCGGCTGCAGTAGGCGTGTCAATGAGCTATATGTGTGTAGGGCAGTAGAGAGCGTTTAAGGTATTGCAAAGTGAAAAGTGTGGCTTAGGTTAGCAATAGGAAGCGTTATAAATATACATACACACACTCACATACACACATTATATATATATATATATATATACATATATACTATATAGGGAGCATTGCAGACATATGAAACATGTATACCAAAAGCATATATCAAAATAAGAACACAGTTTACAACTCGGGGCCATTCGGTTATGGGTATGAACCGAAGCAATGGTCCAGCCCAATTTATTCAAGCGCAGGGGAAATAATTCAATTATAGCCATATGTAAGGTATACAGAGAGCCTAAATTGCGAATGATATTTCTATACCCTATATACATAACACAAACATAAACATAACACACACCACAAACACACACACACACATTCATGCATGCGACTATACACACATACACAGGTACACTTATTGGGCCACAGTTGCAGAGCTGCAACCAAATTCTACAATACATATACATACATATACAATATATATATATATATATATATCTATATATATATATACATAAATTTACATATATATTTCTATAGACAATGGGTTAACAATAACTAATGAAAATAATAAAACTCATATATTTGTACAATAGAATGTAAACGAAAGCAATTGAATATTCGCACAAGAAGCTAACAAATGTTGGTTAATACCAAATACTCAATACATACACACACACACACAGACACACATACACACACAGAATGCCTGAAAAAATAACAATATATAAAATGTAACAAAAGCAAACAAAAAAAAAAAAAAACGATGAGTAAATGAACAAGAATTTAATTGATCTTTTTCTTGAAACAAATGTTATAAATTAATTGTAGCCCGTAGCCAAAATTGAATGTAAAATTTGTAATTTGTTTCCAACTCTCCAAATAGTTAAATGCCTGTTCTATATTCTATACACACACACACATATATATATATATATTCCTATATATATATGCATATGTACAGTGCATATGTTCCAGTGTATGTGTACATGCGTACTGCATAAATATTATTGAGTATTTATTATTGTATTTAAACAAGTTGAATTTTTGTGCGTCGCCCAATTAATAAAGACATTTACCAAGGGCACGCTGTTCGTTTACTCGTATCATCTTATCGACAAAAAAACAAACAAAGCCTAAGCCCGCATTTGTTCAATGGGGGAGTCATTTTTTTTTCTCAGCGAAATGTTTCAAAATGCTAATGAAATACAACACTTGGCAATTAAAATCATAACACGAAAAAAGGTCAATAAAAATCAAAATATTGTTTATTAGACAAATAAATGTATTTTTTGGCAAACTGGTTTTAATGTGGGCATGGGCTGAAATGACAGCTTTTTTTTTAAATCAGAGTTATGTATTCTATCCTAATATATTCGTTTATCAATCAATTCTGCCCCATGTGAATTCCACACAATAAACTAAGAACACTTTTCAGAGAGTCTGTGTGATTTCGGATTGTGTATCTGGAATGTGTCTGCGTGAATGTATGTATGTATCTATGTATGTATGTAGTTATGTATGTATGTAAGTATCTATGTATGTATGTATGTATGTATTTCAGTAAGTATCTATGTATGTGTGTGTGTATGCATGTATGAATGAATGTAATTATGTATGTAGCATATGTATGTATGCATGTATGTATGTAGCGAATGTAGACAAAGTGAATTTACAGCTGAATTTGAGAACAACGTACTTAAAGTGGTGCCTTACTCCTCGATTCTCTTGAATTCAAGTAGGCCAGGCAAGTTTCCTTGCTATGACTATAAGTTTTTTTTTTTGTGAAAAATTGTCGTGCTTATATAAAGGTATGTATTTGTATTATTAGACTACCAATATGTATGCATGTGCTTATGTATGTATGTTTGTGTGTAAGAATGCATATATGTATGTTTTTATGAAAGTATGTAATTATTTATCTATGTATGTATATGTGTATGCATGCAAGTTTACTTCCCGCAGAAAAAAAAAAATGTAAAAAGTAAAGTAAGTAATGCCTTACTATGCGATTCTCATGAATTCCAGTAAGCCTCAGACGTTCTTGATTTTCTAAGTGTTATATTAACAGAATGTGCTGATAATTTGTGGTTTTATTATTGTTGTTTTAATTTGATTTACTTATATATACAAAAATCAAATTAAAACAACAATATTAAAATAACAGAATTAAATTAGTTTATATCAAACTCTTATTTGAATTAATTTAGCCGTAAATTGATTTTCAGTAAGTGTTTTTTTTTTATCGAATATCATTTAATACACTTGCAGCTATTTCAAGTTCAAACGAACCACTCGTAGCTTTGGGGTTGGGGTACTTGAAAACCGCTTTCATAGGTCGAGCTGAGATCCATTAGCACTTGTCACTTCAGGCGTCACGCACGCCCACAACAAGTTTCCGTGGCGTCTTGGCCAAGGCTGATAAGCATCCAAAACACGTACTGCTCAGGGGTTATATTTGCTCCACGTACAGTTCTGGGCGGAGGGGAGGAGGGCTGTCTTGACATTGATGTGCCGAGTGGGTCGTCTGACGCATTCTGCGAAGCGCAAGCCTCAAGCTCGAGCCTCAAATTAAAATTAGTTGCGACCGCAATTAAGTTAATCGTTGCTGTTGTTGTTGCTTCGTTTGTGGCATGTTCTCATGACTGGGCAAATTGCTTATTCATATTTAAAGAAAGTCAACAATTCGTTTTTATGTTCTCACAAACGTAGCCCAATTACCTCTCTCGTATACAAATCAGCATTGGGCCCGTCAAGTTAGATACGCGCTCTGCCCCTTCAATTAGTATCTATATACAAATACATAACTCGCCTACAGATACAGATACCCATAGAGCGTATCTCTAAGGGCGCTCAGTTCTTATACCCTGTAGTCTGAAGGCTTGAATAATGCGATTTTCAATTGTAAAAAAATGATTAAATTAATTTTAAATTTAATTTTCTATCATGTTTAATAACAATCGCATTTCTCTCGCGAATGCTTGAACGTTTTCATAGTCTTGTTTCCATCTAAGTTTATTACAAAATGTAATAAATAATCCATCTTTATATTTATATGTAGTAGACAACATCACATATAAGCCAGGGCCGGTAGTTCGGTTTACGATTCGCACCGATGTTTTGCCTTTGGGCTCGATTCCTGAATCTTATTTTCGACATTAGAATTTAATAGTATTTATTTATTTATAACATCTGCCCGTTGGTACTGAAAATATTGCATTCCGTAAATATTTTCATATCCAAGATATGGGCTATATATAATCCCAGCCATTGGCAATCGGCATGTATCAGTTAAGATTAGATAATTTGAATGGTTGGTGCCAAAGTAATTCCGTTTGAATCAATCTATTTTTGCTTTAATATTCGATTTGTAGTATATAAAAATATAATTTTGTCTGTAATCTTGGTATATCACAAATTTTGAAACAAATGGTTAAAAAATCTCCCAAGGGTATTGTTTAAATCGTTTTTTTGTTGTTATATTTATATATACACGCTTAACATATATTAACATACATACATTAACATTCAAATATTAAAATACATACCTTAACATACAAGCATTAACATGCTTACATTAACATACATTTAGCACTATTCTAATAGGGTATTTCCCTAAAGCACATTCTTTGACTCAAGCATTAGGACTTGTTGTGTTTTGCGTTCGCCTAAGATGAGCTCATAACTTTTGTGACTCAGTGTTTGTGGTCGTGTTTTTTATCAACAGGTGTTTGCTACAGTTTACAACGCCCCCCTTTTGGCGGCATTTGAATATTTTATGTGTGCCTGCTTCGTTTTTGGCTAATTACATGGGCGGTACTATTTACATATATGGCATAGCATAGTGCCAGTCGCGTTGACTGTCGCTTAAGTCGTGCAGCTGTCTGGGAAATTGGAAAATCTGTTGACTAAATGACAAACATGCTTCTAGCCCGTCAGGTATTTTCGAAATATACAAAAATAACTTGCTAAAAATTGTACAAACATTAGGTGTTTACAAAAATAAACAATTTAATATAATAACCTTTACATATTACTTGTCTAGTGTACGTTTCTGGCATGTGATAACATCATTATTTTTGCGTGCTTGGCATTTTGTCATCATTTTTTTTATCGAAGATATATTTATTTACAACAGATTTTTTTAACCGACGCGGTTTATTCATTAATTATGTTTGTTAATTAATAATTAATTATAATTAGAAGTTGTAACAGTTTTTTAGCTTTGATGATGATCTTTTGATATGTTGGCTGGGTTCAATTTCCAGTTTAGATCTCAAGCCACGTACAATGTTTGAGCATAGAAAGCGTATTTTTTTTTAAAGTGTGTTAATTACTTTGAGATTTCATTTAAAAACTGTTTATATTGTCTTTTTATAGACTTGCAAAGCAAGTGCTTCTTTCCAAATTGTAGCGCAGTTCTTCTACACACTGTTGGTGAAAAAACGAAGTCCAGAATTTATTGAAGAGTTTCACTTACAGGCTGAAATTTACTTACTAATTAGAAAGTATTTTTCAGCTGTAGTATTGAAATACTTATCCTTTTAACCTTTTTAATTAATTTTTAATTATTTGCAAAATATTCCTTTCGATATATGCTTGGCACATGCGAGTTTTCGCAAACATTATCCAATGTTAATACCCTAAAAATTAATACTAATATGTAAACATTTCAAATGCGTCTTTATATAACATATTAATGGCGAATACCCGGCTTTGCCAGTCCTAAGTTTTAGTTAGATTCATTCAAAGATATATATGTTATATATATGACTAAGGTATATGACTAAGGTGAGACCCAATATAACTTTGATAATTCCGTTGCCGAATTCAATTATAACAAGCCTCTTGCTATTGTTCCGACACTGATTACAGGGTATCAGACAGTTGACCGCTTTTGTCTTACTCTTGCTTCAATTTATGCACACATCATATGAAAACAATTGAAATGTGAAAATGTTATATGATATATCTACTGACAAATGCGGCCTATCGAATCCATAAAGCGCTGAACGAGTAAACAAAGCTTAGATCACATGTAAACCACTTGAAGGCAGCAGCGTTTGCAATTAATTTCAGTTTTTCCAGTCACTCCAGTCTATAATCTATTCGAAATTACGTAGTTCTGATAATTGTGATAAAATTAATTAGTCGCCGTGAGTTTTATATGAGGAGAATATTATAATTTCGTCGTAAGCCGTCTTCGATCCCACAAATTATTATATTGAACTGAATTGATAAATATTTCTGTCCGTCTGTCTGTTCAGGTATACAGCCTACAAATACTAAATAGCACAAATACATTGCTATATGTGTCTGAGAGCATAATATTAAAACGTCTTATCGCAATGCCATGTGATGCCGGGTTATTTTTTACCCGATGTTTACATAAGACATTGTAGGTTATTTGTGCATCTGAGAGCAGGGAAATAAGATAATACCGGAAATGCTTAAAATGTATCCAATAAACGCATTTTTATTGCTCACTTCACATTTTGGTATCTCATTTCTATAAATAACGCTTATAAATAACAAAAAAAAAAGGGTTAACAATATACTTATTATAAAAAAAAATGAGTCAAAATTATAAGAGGCTTTAAGATCTCGCCACCAGCAGAGCCAGCGACAGAGCCACGCCCACAGAGGCTACAGCAGCGCCAGCACTCGATCTATATCCATAGTTGTTCGGATAGCCGGGCGGTGGGGGCACGGGCTGGCCGCCCATGCCGCCATTATAGGAATAGGGTCGTCCATGCTCGTCGGTGCCGCTGACATAGTAGCCACCATTGCCGCCGACGCCGCCGTAGGGGCCACGCGAATCGATGCCCGCATAACCGTAGCTGTACTGTGGATCTGTACTGCCCAGGCTGCCCGGCGGATGCATGCCGCCCGCCTGCGCGTTTGACCAGGCGCCGGTGCCCGCACTATTGCCAGCATTCCAGTTAACGCTACCGCTCTGGGCATTCACTATGTGGAACAGAAGATTCGAATGGTTCACATGTCAACACAATTTTCGGGCACTGATAATCCACATTTCGGGGCAGTGGCATCGAGACTTACCCGCCGCCGCCAGGTAAGCGATTGCACATATCCAAATCACAACAAAACTCCGACGATCGGTTAAAGACATGTTTATGGTCTGGCCAACTAGCTGCAACTAATTCGCTGGCGGCATCACGTCAACGGTTTTAAACTGGTTCCCAAGCAGCGCACTACCCACGTTTATATCTTCAGCCCCCACTCCCCCCGCTTGGGGCGACCACTCCAGCTTGTTTTTTAAGCGCTCGAACTGCGACTGCAAATGTTTTTGTGGTGTCAGCGAGTCAGCATTGTTGTTGTCATTGTTGTTGTTGCTTATAATTGTTTAGTGGCTCATTGTTGTGCCCTTACGGCGGGTATAATCGAATTGTTACGGCGCTTCAATTGATCATATGATCAAATTAAACTTGTAAGCGTCCAATCATTCAATATGTCTAAATGAAAGATATAGATATAGATATAGATATAGATATAGATATAGATATAGATATAGATATAGATATAGATATAGATATAGATATAGATATAGATATAGATATAGATATAGATATAGATATAGATATAGATATAGATATAGATATAGATATAGATATAGATAGATAGATATAGATATAGATATAGATATAGATATAGATATAGATATAGATATAGATATAGATATAGATATAGATATAGATATAGATATAGATATAGATATAGATATAGATATAGATATAGATATAGATATAGATATAGATATAGATATAGATATAGATATAGATATAGATATAGATATAGATATAGATATAGATATAGATATAGATATAGATATAGATATGATATAGATATAGATATAGATATAGATATAGATATAGATATAGATATAGATATAGATATAGATATAGATATAGATATAGATATAGATATAGATATAGATATAGATATAGATATAGATATAGATATAGATATAGATATAGATATAGATATAGATATAGATATAGATATAGATATAGATATAGATATAGATATAGATATAGATATAGATATAGATATAGATATAGATATAGATATAGATATAGATATAGATATAGATATAGATATAGATATAGATATAGATATAGATATAGATATAGATATAGATATAGATATAGATATAGATATAGATATAGATATAGATATAGATATAGATATAGATATAGATATAGATATAGATATAGATATAGATATAGATATAGATATAGATATAGATATAGATATAGATATAGATAAAGATATAGATATAGATATAGATATAGATATAGATATAGATATAGATATAGATATAGATATAGATATAGATATAGATATAGATATAGATATAGATATAGATATAGATATAGATATAGATATAGATATAGATATAGATATAGATATAGATATAGATATAGATATAGATATAGATATAGATATAGATATAGATATAGATATAAATATAAATATAAATATAGATATAGATATAGATATAGATATAGATGTAGATGTAGATGTAGATGTAGATGTAGATGTAGATGTAGATGTAGATATAAATATAGATAGATGGTATGAAATCTAAAGTAGGTTCTCTTTCTACAGTACATCAACTAGGGTACGTAATCTTCGGTGTGCCGCGTAAACCGTTATTTCTTGATTATTATTTTTTTTGTTAATTTCATTTTACTTAGTTTTATTTTATTTTTGCAATACAGAACACGCAAATTTGTGTAAGTCGGCTCTGTTGTTGTAATTTGTACGAATTTACGTGAGAGACGCGAGTTTTTTTCCGGTATAGAACACGTTAATTTGCTGGGCTCATTAATGATATGCATGACGAGGCGATGGGCTGCGTATACTATATGGGCCCAGCTGCTGTTGCAGTTCGGCATGTTGAGCTTAGTCGAAAACAACAGCGGCAATCAGATGCGTATTTCATATAAGGCTGATAAATATGGCGGCTATATATGAATAAGAATGCGCACATATGCTTCAGTATACAATAAAGAAAAACAAATAAAGAGCAGCAACAACAACTGCAGAGCATTACTTTTACTTTTATTTTCGGATCGGGCAGCGACTTGTTAACACATTTCGTTTATTATACGGCCCGGAGACTTCGGGCTGAGACTCTCCAGAGACAATGCAATCGCGTTGTATTGTGGAGAAGTCGCATTGACAATGGCAAATATTTGCGGCTTTGCTCACTTGCAACAATTGTCGAATCACGAATATTGTTTGCTTTCCACGTGCGCTGTTGTTGTTACAGGTATTACATCAAATTCAGGTGAAACGACGTCATAAATAGGTCAAGCCATATGCTAACAGCTACAAATTCGCAGCGAGGTTACAACTGCCCACAGCCACCCATCCCCCCAATCGCACACAATATACATACAGTCCGGGAAATGGGAAAAATCTAAGCTCAAATGATTAAAACATTTTTGCAATATAAAAGAATAAGTTCTTAAGACTAATATAATATGATATATATGTTAATAATGTATAATGATATATAAATTTCTTAAATACGTTAAGCAATAAACAAATTATTTCTGTGCATCCAAAACAAGCATATTTTGCATTAAGTCTAAGAATAACACAACAAATTTATCTTGAGGATAAGACGTGCTCAAAAAGGTCAAGGAAATTTGAAGTTTCTTGCGGAAAATAACGCACTTTTGGAAAAATAATGAAGGAACGTATTATAATTTCTTTCATTTATTTTAAGATAGTTTCAGACAAAGAATTGTGTATTTTAAAGTATTAAAGTATTTATTAAAATAATTGTTTGTCTGCAAATGCTTAAAAGGAATAATATTTTTAATATGATTCATAAATATATTAATAGAAACTGTTTCTATTCTTTTTTTGTGTTTCGAGCGCATCTGAGATACATAAAACAAGAGGCGCCACCTGGCGTGCAGATTGAAGTTGCAGATATGGCAACGCTGGCAGAGTGGCCACTTCTGTGTTTACTGCAACTGCGCAGTAGCAACGCACTGTGAAGAACCGAACTGGTAATCAGAAACCCCAAAATGGCCATCCTCCAGTGGGGCAGGTCCACCCCAACCACACAGACATTGCTGGAACTCGGCAAGGGTAAGTCAGCTATGCTGTGTGTTTGCCTGTGTGTGTGTGTGTGTGTGTTTGACTGTGAGTGTGTGCGTGTGTTTTGGGTTTAACTACACTTTTTTGTTTTGCTTTCTCTTTGTGTTTACAGCCGTTTTTCCAGCAGCAGCTTTTAGCTTTTTACATCGTCGACTCTCGCCGTATGAATTTGATGAGCGTGCGTGTGCGTGCGGGTGTGTGTGTGTGCGCGTGTGTGTGAGTTTATTGTTTGCGAATGTTTGCGTGTGTATTTGTATCGGTTGGTTTTCGCTTTTCGCTTTTCGGTTTGATAGTGACATTGCTCGGCTCGGCCAGCCGCTAACTTGGCTTTTGGAGGCTTCAGTCGCCTGGATCTGGTGGTGGAATTTCAGTTGCAGCCCAAGCGCCAGCAGCGCCAGCCAAAACAATAAGCATTTTTTTTTACTATTTCGGCTGCCAATTGAAAAATTATAAACAAATGTGGCACACATAAAATAAACATCAATTGCCAGTGGCTGCAGGGCCAAAAAATAAGAATATAACAAAGTTAAATAAATAAAATAGTGATAATTTAAATACGAGAAAATAACGCACAAATAAAATAATTTAGGCTAATATATTCCAACTAAAAACAATTCAAAGCAAAAAAAAAAAAAAATAAACGAAAGGCAGCAACAGCAAAAGAAAAAATTCATTGCATCTATTCAGGCGCATAAGGAAAATGAGCGCAAAGGTAGGCCAAGAGCGCGCGTCGCTCTCTCTCTGTATGTGCCTCTATGTGTAAGTGTGTGTGTGCGTGTTTGTGCGTGTGTGCCTCTGTCTGTTCGTGTTCTGCTTGTGTGTGTTTTGCGCTTAGGTTTATCGCAATATCAACATTGCTGTAGGCCGTTGCTTGGTGCCGCTTTTGTCTGACAATTGCGCAAATGAATTTGCAGTTAATGAACATTTTAATTGGCTTCCCAATTTAATTAGCGTTGCGTATGCCACGCCCCCAACTGCCAGCCCCCTCGCCACCTTTTAGAATTTGCTCTTGTTAGGTATACATAAATTGCATGGCCTGCAATGTGAATTATTGGGCTTGTAGCCTTCTGAGCTCAAGACATATGTCTAACATATGTCAGACAAGCCTTCAAAAGAGCTAGATATAGTGAGCGATAGAGAGAGAGAGCGAAGAGTGAGAGAGAGAGTGGTAGAGAGACTGAGAGGGGGGGGGGGGGGGGGGGGCTGTGTGCGAGCGAGAGCGCGCCTGTGGGAGAGCAGCATTGTTTGTGTGTATGTCCTGCGTTTACATTTATATGATATGAACCAAAGTCAACTTATGATACCCTTGCAGAGGCTTATCTGTAAGCAAGCCTCTTTATGAGCACGGTACTTTGTCCGCATCATAAAGCTGCTATACGAATTATCGGTCGTATAGCTGCTATTGGAATTATCGGTCAGAAATTTAGATCAACTTTATTGTTTTTCAAACTATTTGGACTAAGCTTAACAATTACGAGCTTCACTATTCTCTTAGCATATGTACAAAGCCGTATAAAATCGGTCTTCTATATAATATATTTGCCATTGAGACGCATGATTCAGAAATACATTTTGTGTATAAAAGCACTTCTATGTCAATTATCTGGTAGGGTATTTAATATTCGTTGTGCCGTCGATTGCTGTTCGTTCGTTTTGAAATGCAATTTAGCGCATGAACAGCGGCTGCTGTGGTAGGAATTGCATTTAAAATCCTATTCAGTCACTTGAACATTGACCTGCCCCCCCCGCCAACGTTCACTACCTTACCCCTACCCAGGCGACTGTCTACCCAACTACCCAACTACGCAACTAACCAGACCAGGAACCAGCTCCAATTATAACTCATATAAATGCGTAGTTGCGTGTGCACAAGTGCATGCCATATAATAAAGTGCGCAGTTTGCCATACTTTTGGCTTTTATTAGTTTATCTATTAAATGCGCTTTGAAAACTTTAAGGTATACTTTAATATATAGAGACTATTAAATTTCAGCTTGACATTGTTTAAAGTTGAACTTATTTGATTGTAATGGAAGAAGTTAAAGGATATTTGATAGAGAATCTAGTGAAGCTGCCTGTTTTTCAATATTTCTAGAACTTTTAAAAAAAAAACATTTCACATTTATCTCATTTTGATATTCACCGATTGCCTATAAATAGAAATGCGATTTCTGAAAATGTTTGCGATTCTATCTGAAATAGTTTTTGTACGGCAAACATAATATTTGAGTGAAAGTAGGTCTGGAAATAGGTATACGTACATATATATATATATATATATATATATATGTGTATACATAGATTGAAGATCAAAGCCCAAGACTTAAGAACTTGATGTCTGCATTTATTAAAATAGCTTTTTTAATGAGCAGTATATAGGGCTTGGCCATAGGTTCTTGAAAAATGTCTACCGCCAGGATAAGATATTGATGGAAAACAAATATAACAAATGTATTCTACCTTATTCAGGCGTTGTGAAAATTCGCAGCAGACGTTTTTCGCACTTGTCAACATATGTCAACCCTCTTGGTGGAAATTGTGTAAAGCTTCCGCTTCATCGAGCACCATGTGAGTTGGGCGAAAATTCAATTGCTAGAACATAAGTTGAGTTTGTCGAAAATTCAACACGTTGGGTTGGAATGGTGAAAATTTGGCTTCAGAAGTTGAATATCAATTCGATTAAGTAAGGAGCAGAGCATTATATTTTGTTCAGCTAAACAGCTGCTTCCGCTGAATATATGCTCTATGTATATGCGTATGTCAATGGCTCAAGATTCGCGAAGATTATAACTTAAATTATTCACTTCCGTTTGCAGACTGTCATTCGCCAGAGTCTGAGTGTCATTTAGTCGCTTTCAAAATTTCAAATTTCTTGTTTGGCAATTTTGATTTAATTTATGTTTACATTCAACAGCGGCATATTTTCTTTCTGCTGTGTTTACGCTATGGGGCATCTCTGCTGCACGTCGATTAGCTTTGGGCAAATATTATCCCCGACAAGGCAGCCCGCCCACATACCCTCCCCGGACTTGGTAGGCACAAGACTAACAAGAAAAGGCGCAAAAAAAAAACTGCGCAACAGTTTTCATATGCGCTGTGTGTGTGTGTGTGTGTTTGTCGGCTGATGGTGATGGTGATTAATGGCATATTGTAAGTCAATACAAAATAAATACAGTAGTTACTGCCAAAGTGATACGAATAGAAACCATTCAAGCATTGACATTATTTTTGGAAGGAATATTCTTTCATCATGTTAGAACTTTTCAAAATACTAAAGTAAAAGCTTCTATTATTTCGTTTTAAAACTCATTCTCATTAATTTATGTCATTCACATGATTTTGATGTTGTATTTAGTAAAATAAATTTACATACATTATAAAATGGTGTCGATTTGTTGAAGACCAAAGGCCTTCGAGCATCGCTCGTTCCCTCTCCCCCGTCTCTCTCTCTCTCTCTCTCTCTCTCTCTCTCTCTCTCTCTCTCTCTTTTTCTCCATCTCTATCTCTGTCTGTCTCTTTCTCCCACTTGGGCTCTAACTCTCTCTCCCAATTACTTCGCTCTTTTATATTGCCTTTCTATGCAGTTCTCATGATCACAAAAAACGCTCACAGGATTTGATATTAGTGTTTATCTGTGTATATAAAAGTGATATGTCAAAATATGTTAGTAAATTATCGTGCCAGCTACTTTAGGTTATTTTTTTGAGAGCTCACTGTCATTCATACTTTGTTGTCCTGGCCACTGTGTACGTGCGAAAAGATAGGAAGCCCGATAGACATATTGTGTACAGACATGCATATATTTGATTATTGAACATATAATTCGAACGCTGTCATTTCGAGCACAGCACACACGCCCACACACCCTCACTAGTCGGGCAACTTATTTGAAATATAATATGCATACAGACGAGTGCTTACTGGGATCGTATGTTCGGGTATTTACATAATATATGTTAAAATATGGTAAAACCAATTGACGCACAACATAAAATAAAAAAAGCTGCTAGCTATTTAATTGTCGGGCAATAATAATTATTATTTTGCATTCTTTTGGTTAGAAAATTCCTACGAATATTTATGCAGTGCCGAGAGAGGGGTGAGAGGGGGACACTGACAGTTACACTCACACACGCTCGCTTACAAAATTGAGTCAATTAATTTGTTTATAGTGCAAAATCATTTGAATGTGAGAAGCGACCCCAAAAGCCTATGAACTCGGTATATTTGAACACACACACAGGCACATGTATATATATATATGCATGTGTATGGTGTTGCTGCGGGTATCGGCATCGCCATCGCCATCGCCATCGCCTTCGCCTTTGCCATTGCCATTGCCATGAGCATCGGTATCGAAGCAGCTCGGTATCGCTGTTCGGCATCGTTCAGTGCACATTCAACGGTCATGGGATGAACATCGGATATCGTGTATACGCGTTATCTCTGGCGCCCCCTCTCTCTCACACACACGCTCTCTTTTTGCCACTCTCTCGCAGACCAAGATCTAGGCGTCTAAAACTGTCTTACGCGCGCCCAGTATTTTAACAATAACTACAACAACAACAACAACAACAGCATCAACAAACAACAACAATCAAAACAACGGCAAATAAACAAATACAAATACCACGAGTTCCGAATTCATACGAATTAATTTTCAATTGTTGGTTTATCTTAGCCGTCGCCTAATTGCTGAAAATGTGGCTCACCGATTGCCGCTCGGTAGGTGTGGGGTATGGGGTGCCTATAGCTAGGTGTGCGTGTGTATGTGTTTGTGTGTATGTGTTGTGTGTGCATGGTTTATGGATATTTGGCTTATCGCTCTTCGAATTCCGATTTATTATGAACAAACATATAGCGATAAAATCGTAAGCAATGTATGTTGTACATGTGTACATATTTATAGTGTATATCATATAAAGAACGTATGCATAGAAAAATATTATTGTTGCAGCCTTGAAACACTTCATTATTTCTATGAATATGTTTATTATGTTAAAAATTATTGTCTAAATTATTATGAATATTATTATTATATTTAGTATTTTTATTATTATAATAATACTAGTAATTATTATTATTAATATTAATATTTTTATTGTTATTATCATTATTATTACAATTATTATTATTATAATTTTTATTATTCCTCCTTTTTCATAATAATTTTTTTCATTATTATTATGATTACTTTTGTTATTTTACATATTATTATTACTTTATTTATAGTTTTATATAGTTTTACACAAACTATGAATGTTTTTGCTTGGTTTTATTATAATTATTTATATTTAAATGGTTTCGCAATCTTATATATATATTTGTTTTTATTAAAGTAATACTCACAAAAGTGATATGGGCACGGATACAAAATACATTATACGAATCGAATTAATAATTTTAAACTTATTTGATGAAAAATATAGATTATAATAAGCAACCTCAATTTTCGCCCCTTCGCACTTCATGAAGTTAAATCTTAGACCATAATTCAAAAACATTTCTGGCCCCTAGGCCCCCTAACAATCATGTGGCGCTGGTTAGCTGATAGCTTAGAGCATTGGATAATAAATAAATTTGACTGTATAAATATTTACGAAACAAAGATGATATTAATATTTGACAAACAGATTGTATGAAATTATTCTTACCAGCACGCCCATTCATTTGACTACACACACACACACATATATGATTATCTTGTCAAGTTGAACTAAAGATCTGTTGCTTTCCTTTTGACATGCAAAACACTTCACACAACAAAGGGTTAAGCTATATACATAACAAATGCCTTATCTGAACAAGGCAGCCGGCTCCTTGTCATGGAAGGGTGCTTGGAAATAAGAGTGGGGTACGGGGCATCAGCCAAACGAAATGTGAGAAAAAGCCCCAGATATACAAGTGCCGGCCGTAGAGGGCATCCGAAAGCTCAACGAAGGCGGACGGGCGCGTGTTTGGTGCAAAAGTCTTGAGAATTTCAAATGATTGTCAGATGTTGTACAATAAATAAACAAATAAGCACTTACATACACCGCTGGCCACTTGGCTAAGGACAGTGTAAACTGTAAGCTTCTAATAAGTTGAAACATATGTATTTGGCTGGGAATTCGGAAACTTTTAAATATATGTGTGCCAGATCATCAGGCACCAAACCCAAAATAACATGTTCGTGGTTCAGTTCAAGGCAGCCTTCTGCTCTCATGAAGTTTGGCAAGCTGGCCTTCCATGCCTAAGCCATGTTTTGGATTAAGCCCTGTGAGAGGCTGTTTTTCTGGCTTCAAACTGACTCAGATTTCAAGCAATAAAAAAATTGTATCTGTATATATGATGTGCATGTTTTGTGTGGATGGCACTTGATGCTCTGATCTCCGATCTGTATAGGCATAACAATGAGAGGTGAGATGAGCCGCTAACAACAACCGACTTAAATAAGGTCGTCTCCGAGTGTAGCCTGTTTTCGAAACTACTGCGGATCATAACTAACAGTCCGGCATTGTATTGTATGCATCTTACAGATGACACGCTACAAACAGACCGAATTCACGGAAGATGATTCAAGTTCAATTGGTGGCATACAGCTGAACGAGGCGACGGGACACACGGGCATGCAGATACGCTATCACACGGCTCGGGTAAGTACAATTACAATACACGTGCCCAGGCGGCAAAAAAAAAAAAAAAAAGAAAATCTACACCAAATACACTCGTACATACGCACACCCATTTGCAGTTTGTGTTGGGCAGAGCGTGTGTCGCTATATGACAATGACCCAAAAAGACGCGCCTGAGATTTGATTAGCTTGAAGGTTACCACGCTTGTGTGTAGTGTATAAGACGCTCATAAATTTTAACTTTTTATTTTTTAATTTCTAAAAGTTCCATTGGGCTTGACAAAAGAGAAAAGGTGACGATAATACACTTTATTTTGAATTCCATTTTAAATTTATAATATCCATGCTCAAAATTAGAATTTATAATTCAAGACATTAGCCCCGATTTGTATTTTAGTTAAGTTCAGGACCCAGCTTTAAAATATCAAGCGTAGCCTTAAAATGCACTAGCACAGACTTCAAACAAAAACTAGCCCAGGATTTAAATCACGATCCTTTTTTTAACCTATAACTATGTTCAACACGAAGCTCAACAAAGCTATTCTGTTTAAGATGACCCATAGAAATATATTAAAACAAGTAAGAGGTTCTAGGGGATACCCTGAATCCTCTTCTTTCAACTTCAAATGCATATATATATTCTATTTTAGAAGCTATATGTCAAGTTTGGTGACTCTAGCTCTTATTATTTACCAAAATTGCCCAAAAAACAGGATATCGATATCGATTTTTATCGATTGCTTGGAAACGGAGTAAGTTAGAGATCCTTGCGTTCATACATACAGACTGACGGACAGACGGACGGACGGACAGACGGACATGGCTAGATCGACTCGGCTATTGATACTGATCAAGAATATATACACTTTATGGGGTCGGAGATGCTTCCTTCTGCCTGTTACATACATTTGGATTTTGCACAAATACAATATACCCTTATACCCATTTTTAATGGGTTCAGGGTATAAAATACTTATTTGCGAAACAGTTAATATTTTTGTACCCTGAACCCATTGAAAATGGGTGAAAGGGATAAAAGGGTTTTGTGCAAATGCATTTAACAGGCAGAAGGAAGCATCTTAGGTCCCATAAGGTACATATATTTTTGATCAGCATCAAAAGCCGATCCATCCATCAATGTCTGTTTACCCGTCCGTCCGTCCATCCGTATGTATGAACGCTTCAATCTAAGATCTCCAATAAGAGCTAGAAATTTGAAATGTTGAACATAGTTCCTGCTAGTGCTCTAGTTTGTTTGGGATAATCGATAACTTGCCCTGTTTCAAAGCTATATAAAATCGATATTGAAGTTCTATATCATGTAGAAGAGCTTACAAAATGTTTACTCTTGCTTTCATATACTAGCTCACAAACTTTAAAATTTGCCTTGCTTTCCCGATAAATACAAATAAAATATTCATTATTATTCGTATTTATTTTATAAGAAACTAATTTAATTTAAATTACCTAAAAAGGTGAGGCTCTCATATTGTCGTCTGCTCTCGACTATACCAATGTTATTTCTTTATCTTTTTAAAATGTGTAAGATTCTGACAAACTGTCTGAAAGCCTTAAAATGGCCTAAAGTAAATATGCCGTAGAGCCGTGGACATTTTATTAAAAGAATATTGATTTTCTTTTTCGACAGGCTACATGGAACTGGCGTTCACGGAATAAAACTGAAAAATGGCTGCTCATTACCACATTTGTCATGGCTATCGTCATCTTAACGCTACTCATCATGGTATTATCGAACAGCGCCGATAACACCAATCATGTGGTACACGTCCAACCGCATAAGAAGGGTAAGTGGAATAAATAAGTGTAGCACGTGAATGGATTACAAAATATATAAATATACGTATGCATGTATTTCAGATTGTGTGGAGGCCAATAAGTTGCCCTGCTTAAACGAGCACTGCATTTTTGCATCAAGTGAGATTCTGAAGTCCATCGATGCCAGTATCGATCCTTGCGATGATTTCTACGGTTATTCATGGTAACGTATGAACATAAGACTGGGATCAAGAAAATGAGAAGAATATCGGACTGCAATCGGGCAATATAAAACAAATGATACCGAATAATTTCTTAGATAGTCCATGCATATTTTTATATATAAATAACAGTTTTCTTATATGGATACTACTCAGTATATCTCTTTGATCCTTTTCCATTTACAAAGGTATTACGTGTCTCAGATTCTTTTGTATCTTGCATTCTATCTCAAAGATACTGTTGCAACTATTATATTATTATTATATTTATTTTTCACTTATTATTTTTCACTAAATCTATTATTAGAATTATACCTCACAAATATTGTTGTATTGTATCTTAAAAATACAATTATATCTCATTGATGACCTAAAAGACCTAAAGATGCCTCTTAGATGCTATTGTATTCCAAAGACCTCTGGTATATTTGAGGACCCGGGCATCATAGAAAATGTACTGGAAAGAAAAATTTATAGCAGATACATAAGTATCTTTGTAGTATACAATAATTTAATTTTCATTTATTAAAGTATTATTGAGAGTTATATTGATTTAAGAAGCTTTTTAATACACAGGCGATAATAGCTTGAATCTTTTTAAATTTCAGCAATCAATGGATCAAAAACAATCCCATACCGGAGGGAAAATCCACTTGGGGTACATTTGGAAAACTGGAGCAGATGAATCAGCTAATTATACGCAACGTTCTGGAGAAGCCAGCCAAAACCTTTAAGTCGGATGCGGAACGCAAGGCGAAAGTCTACTATGAGTCGTGCCTGGATGTGGATGAGCACATGGAGAAACTGGGCGCCCAGCCTATGAACGATTTGCTTAAGCAGATTGGAGGCTGGAATGTAACGCAGAGCGGTTTTAATGTGACCAAATGGAAACTGGGCAACACGCTTAAAATACTACACAACAAGTGAGCACCTCGTATTGCCTAAACTCTGGATGTAGACATTAATTAAATTGTCCATATCATATCTCAAACCCATTTTAGGTACAATTTCAACTGTTTGTTCGGCTGGGCCATTGGTGAGGACGACAAGAACTCCACGCGCCATGTCATACAGATTGACCAGGGCGGCCTGACGCTACCCACCGCTGACTACTATAACAACAAGACGGACATTCACCGCAAGGTGCTCAGCGAGTATATCGAGTACATGACCAAGGTATGCGTGCTGCTCGGCGCCAATGAGACCACTGCTCGCATTCAAATGGAGGCGGTCATCAACTTTGAGAAGAAGATAGCCAACATAACCATACCGATGGAGGATCGACGCAATGAGGAGGCCTTGTACCATCCGATGAAGCTCAAAGATCTGATCAAGCTGGCACCGTTCCTCAATTGGACAGATCACTTTGACAATGCCATGCAAATGGTCAACAGGCGTGTTACTGATGAAGAGATCGTTGTCGTCTATGCGCCCGAGTTCCTCAAGAATCTGTCCAACATCATTATGAGCATGCAGCAAACAGATGCTGGCAAAATGTAAGTCTTCATGAATATTTGATTGAAGGATTGTTCATTGGCGTAGCATAGGGCGACTGTTTGCAGTTGGGCTTGGGCCTTAAATTTAGCATCTGAATTAGCTAGAACAACTATGAAACATTTTTAAGCAAGAAAGAGGTTCTATTCGGGAGCTCCCGACTAGGGGATACCCTGAACCCTCTTCTTCCAACATCAAATGAATATATATATATTCTATTTTCGAAGCTATATGTCAAGTTTGGTGACTCTTTTATTTACCTTCATTATTATTTACCAAAATTTCTTAAAAAACAGGATATCCATATAGATTTTTATCGATTGCTTGGAAACGGAGTAAGTTATCGATTATCGGAAACAAACTCGATCTGCGCAGGCACTAGGAGCACCTACATCTAAAATTTCAAGTCTCTAGCTCTTATAGGTTCTGAAATCTACGACGGACGGACAGACGGACGGACGGACAAATACAATATACAATTATACCCATTTTTAATGGGTTCAGGGTATAAAAAGAGAAAGCTTAGCTTTACGCTCAGAAAGAATTCATAGCATTGCACTCTAATCGAAGCATAGGTACACTCGACTAAAAACAGGCTTAAGATTGTGCGCTGTGTCAATGATACAAATTCAGCTAAATCTAACATCTAATTGGTTGAAGCACGCATTGAAATACTTTGGTAATAACTTTTAATGTAGCTTATTATATTTATATTATTTTGATTCTGATTTTCGTTGCTTGACGCGTTACAATTCGCAACAAGTTATAGCCTCGAAAGATTGATAAGCTTTTACCAGCCTGCGATAGCAGGATAAGACGCTTATTCTTTAAAAATGCTATACAGACAATATGTCCAGCTGAATGTTATCAGTGTTAAGCTGCATAGGCCACCCATTTGGGACATTACTTTGCTCTTCCAAAACTTCGGAATCTGGTTTCGGTATATGTACTATGTATACCATGCCCGGAGCAAGCTGTTTGGAATTCAAATAGTTTCGCCGGTCTTTAAATAAAACAATATATATAAGGAAACTTATAAGTTAAAATCTTTGATACTGCAGCCTGCAGCTGCTGTTGGGTGGTCTACCTTACGACTAGGTTATCTTTTATTCCGAAACGCACAGCTCTATAATTTTTAGTATTACATGTTAAATAATTATGTTGTTGTTTTTGCAGAACGCTGAACAACTATCTAATTTGGCAGGCAGTGCGCACGCTGACCAGCTGCTTATCCAAACCCTTCCGCGATGCCTACAAGGGCGTGCGTAAGGCGCTAATGGGCTCCGATGGCGGAGAGGAGGTGTGGCGTTACTGTGTTTCCGATACAAACAATGTGATTGGGTTTGCAGTGGGCGCCATATTTGTACGCCAGGCATTCCATGGCGTCTCCAAGCCAGCGGCGGAGCAAATGATCGGCGAGATACGCGAAGCCTTTAAACTGAATTTACAGAATCTCAGCTGGGTAGACAAGCAGACCCGTGAGCGCGCCATAGAGAAGGCCAACGAGATCTCAGATATGATTGGCTTCCCGGACTATATACTCGATCCCGTGGAGCTGGACAAGAAATATGTCGAGCTAAATATTACAGCAAACGCGTACTTTGAGAACAATATTCAGGTGGCCATCTACAATCTGAAGAGCAATCTGAAGCGTCTCGATCAGCCGGTAAACAAGACCAATTGGGGCATGACGCCTCAAACGGTGAATGCCTACTACACGCCCACCAAAAACCAGATAGTCTTCCCCGCTGGCATTCTACAGACTCCATTCTTCGACATTAACAATCCCAAGAGCCTGAACTTTGGCGCCATGGGTGTGGTCATGGGCCACGAGCTGACGCATGCTTTCGATGATCAGGGGCGTGAATACGACAAGTTTGGCAATATTAATCACTGGTGGGATGCCAAGAGCATCGACCGCTTCAACAAGAAGGCCGAGTGTATATCCAACCAATACGGTAGCTACAAGCTCAACGGACGCAACCTGAATGGCAAGCAGACTCTGGGTAAGTGTCAGATTCTCCTTATATCCTGGTATATATATGTTGAACGCGCCCACTTATACGACAACTCCGTGCAGGTGAGAATATAGCAGACAATGGCGGCTTAAAGGCGGCCTATCATGCCTATCTGCGCACCAAGCTTGACAAAGATGCGGATATCCTTAAGCTGCCAGGCCTAAATTTGACGCATCCGCAGCTCTTCTTCGTTTCTTTTGCACAGGTGAGTATTTAATGAGTAATGAGGTTTAACGATACGCTATCAAATATGATCTGTTCATGCTTAGGTCTGGTGCTCCAGCACCACAGACGAGACTAATTTGCTGCAAATGGAGAAGGATCCGCATTCGCCATCGCAGTTCCGTGTCATCGGCACGCTGTCCAATATGAAAGAGTTTGCCGATGTATTCCAGTGCAAGCCCGACACACGCATGAATCCGACCAATAAATGCGAAGTCTGGTAAAAACAATAATAACCAATACAGATCTCATAACCTCTGCGAAATACCAAATATAACAAATTCTTAAGCCAAATAATTTATCAAATCGACGCACAAAAACAAAACCAAATGAAAAAAAGAAAAACAACTATTACTCGCGAAAAAAGTGCTATAGACAATTCGTATTCGTTTGATTGTCTAATTAGCTTATAGAGAAGTTCGTTTCAAATGTGTGCTATATGTTTTTGTTGTTGCTAATTTAGATATATACATCATAAATATATATATATATATATATATATATATATATATACGCTTGCAGATTGATATAAATCTATGGGAACACCATAAATTACAAGTCTGTCTAATATATACACATACTTTTGTGTACCCCGCCCTCATTATTGAGGTTATTTTCGATACTAAGGAATGTTTCAGCTATCTGTCTATGCTTAGTTTTGTTTTCCTATCCACCGAAATCCATTACTTCCGTGAGTGGTAAATCATTTACACACAGATTCACTTATCATGTACACTCAACTATAGATTAATTGCATAACTAACGATAGATATAATTACTTAAGTAATTGTAACTGACGCGTGTCAATAATTAAATATTTATCTTTGAAAAGTAGCAACAACATTATCTCGACTAATTACAAACTACAGCAACTTTACAGCTATGAATACGTTAGTAATTGTAATCGTAATCCTTTAGTAATTGTTGTTAGGCAACTTTATACATTTAAAATCTTTCAATTATTAACGTAACTGTTATAGAAATTTTATCTAAAAATTGGAACAGCAAAGTTCCACTCCTTCGCTGCGTTCATCTCGCATTTACAAATTGCTCACATGGGAAAAGCTCAACTAAGCAATTCTATTATATTTTTATCAAAGTGTTTGATTATTATTAAAGAATATTTTTATTAATATTCTAGTCTAGATGAATTTGAAATACTTTTAGCTATTCCAATGATTTGTCAAATGATATTTTGCAAGCTTATATAAACTGTTTCGGCATGCCGAATTTTATTTCAATTGTATTTATTTACTACAAAAAAACGAAAAAAAAAAAACGTCAGTCATTGTGCCTAAGGAAAAGTGAAAAACTATCTGACGATAAACCTATTGCATACTTTTGGGAAACGGGCATTGATCGACTTTAAGCCGCGCCTGTACCAAAGCCGAGACTTAAACAACAGCAAAAACAACAACAAAAACAATTTGGAAAATTGCGAACTACGAAAATGAACGCATTACACGAATTAAATGAAGATAAAAAACTTCGATCGTTTTAAGATATATATATATATGTATATGTATGTAGTAGTTATTAACAATTTGTAACTGTAAACAGCGGATCGGCGTCGAGATCCTCTCTAGATAAACGTGGAACTAGCTATTTGTATAACTATTTATGTTTTTGGTACATTTGTACTGGAACTACTTTGGAATCGGCGAAAGATATAGGCGTAGACAGTGTGTATGCGAGTGATTGATGCGAACAAAATATCGAAAATGGCTATTATCTCAACACGGATATATATGTAAGTGTGCAACAAAGTCTCCCCTAACCTTAGTGTGTGTCTGTGTGAGAGAGTGAATTTGTGTGCGTGCGTGTCTATGTGGGAGTGTGTGACGAGATGAGAGATACTTTGCGAGCGAGATGGAGAACACATTCGTGTAGTATTTGATGCAGTTACTTCTGCCTTTTTGTTGCCAAACTCCAAACTGCGAACAATATAGCAAAACGAATCAATTTTTGTATTTTGTATATACCCTTATATGCATATATATGTATGTATATGCATAGATCCAAATTAGTTTGATAAAACGGTACCAAATACGATACACATATGTTTTTTTTTTAGATTGGAGCGAACCAAACAGCTATGTCATAATCTTAAGGAAATTAAATCAAAAATTGTCGTGTAAAAACATTAGTATGTGTATTATCCGTTTTGCCTTCGTTTTGTCCTTTATTCAACTGAACGCTGTGTTAGTTTTTTGACACCTGGTATATGTATGTGTGCGTGTGTGTGTGTTTATAGATTTTTTATAACAAACGCGACCATAGAACCAAAACCAACACCAATCAAATGCACGTGCATTTTAGTATAGATCAGTCTTGGACATGAAACTCAAATAGCTCAAATAGAAACGGTATACGAAAATAGATGAAGATCTCTGAGCAAGCATTTGGCACATATCAATATTTCAATGGAAACGTACAAGAATGATATATGTGCGATACTGTCATACAACAATCTATTCAGAACAAAACACCAAATGTATGGAATTTATTTAATACTAAACTAGCCAGGTTCCGAATACAATCTGGCATATAAGTAAATTATATGCATATATATTTAATGTGCTCAACAGTACCAAATTCCACATATTTCTTAGGTATAACACGAAAATACAAGAAGAAATACAAGAAAATTCACAATAAATAAATAGCATAACAATATATTAGATATTTGTCGAGATCTGTCTATAAACGGGTTCCTTAATTGAACTACCACTCCAAATGGACATAAGCAACTAACTATGTGAATTGCACAAATCTTTAGAAATCGATAATGTTTTCTTTTATTTCACCGATAAATTTTTTTTTTAAATAACTAAAATATATATAACGAATGCATTTAATTTTTATTTAATTGTTCTTATTTTATGGAAGTAAGTTGACACAAGCTAAAGCTAAACAATTTTAGAGTCCAATAATATAAATATATACACACGAACATAAATATGCAAAAATATATACATATATATGTGTACCGATAAATAAATAGAAGGAAATCATAACTATATTAATAACTTTACAGACATACATACCTGCGTGCTTGTATGTGTGTGTCGAGATACAAATTATTTTTATTGTCGAAAAAAAAAAACAAAACAAAACAAAACAAAAAAAAATATTGTATGCATATGAAAGCGAAATAAATTCAATAACTGAGTGTATAATACAATTCTATTACTGCCGCATGCATCAGAGCTTGAAATTATTCTGCGTCAGCAGCGTGGAACCGCACAGCTGAAGAGGAGATTCCATTTTGGCCAACTCTGTTAGCCAGAGTCCTAATTAGATTCAAGTGGCTCGCCAGCTTTGACCCATTCATTTCATGGCCGTGGTGCGACTATTATCGTAGACATAATTACCTGAAACCTTTTATAAATATGCTAAATAACACAAATTGTAATTTAACGCACCTGACCAGGCCATTTGTTGCCGTGCGGAGACAGTTATCAGCCGAGACTTTAAATTCATTTGGAATGGAAATTGGATAAGATATGAATTCACTAACTGCAGTCTTTCTTAACGATTTAAATTTAAAAGTATAGTATAAAGTATAGGTTGCGTACACAAGTGCTTTTCATTTTGACAATAAGCTGTGTTTTCGTACTCTGTCAAAATATTGCAACAGAAATATACGGCAACAAAGACTTCGCGCCATAAGCTATGCAATGCTTATTTAAACAACTTATATGTCTTTTTTTTTTTAAATTTATTGACAAGATTTCTGCTACTTATTTGCTTATGATTTTCAAAACAAAAATGTATCAAGTCGATTAAAATATTGAATATTATAGTAATAGTAATATATAATCTTTTCGACCTGACCTGAACTGATCTGGCATTTATATATATATATATTCAATTATGTATATATTTAACCTGTTGAGTAACAAAAATTAACAATGACTTTTACTTGATGACATTTAAAATATACAGTGATTTTTTCAAATGAAAATTTCACAAATGAAATGTTATTTCTGGTCTGAGGTACCTTTCAATTGCCAAAGGCGGTTACTTGTTTAAATACATACATGTCTTTTAAAGGCTTACACAATTTTGGGTTGTTTTCTTTTTGGTGTTCTTTTGTAATATAATGGACTATATTTCGTATTTTGCTTGCTGCAAATCGTTATTATTATAATTAGTTGACTGTGTCCAGAAAGGCCGTATTCCAGCAGCTGACCCCAAGCCTAGCAATTTGCGCAGATACAAAGGGCGCAGAGGGGGCAGAGTTGGGCGTCTGGCGCTTGGCGCAACATTAAATTGCTTAAAGCTGTCGAATGTTGATTTTGTGACAAAAGTTCTAATAAACTTTGTCCGGTGGCAAGCCTAAGGATACACACCCACACGCAAATGCCTGCAAATTGCTTACATAATAAATAATAATAATAGCGTGCGATTTTTGGCGCAATTTAAATTTATTTATGGTCCTTGTTGTGGTTGCCTTCGCTCGCATGTTGGGCTCAAGTTGTGCCAGACTCCAGTGGCTGCTGGCCACTCCTCCGGCTATTGGCAGCTTAGACGAGGCATGCGTCATGCTTTCTGCATGTAGATGCCACAGCACAGCACATATATATATGTATATATATATATGTACCCCCGTACATACCTGTGCTGCCTGGCAGCCAAACGCGCCGACATCGCCATCGATTTCGTGTCCTGGCGGACATTCTATTCTTATCATTGCGGCTGATCCTGGTCGCCAGGCAACCTGCGCAAAAATCATTTAATCTGCTTAGCTGGGAAGCCGACCTCGGCCCTGGCAAGTGGTTGGTTTTTGCACCTCCGCATTTGCTAGTTATTCCTAAAGTGGAAGGGAAGGGGGTGGGGGGAGGTGGCTTGTTGTCAACCAAAATTGTAATTATACAAGGCGCACTTACTGCCAGCAGTAAATCCATTCTGCTGTTTTATGATGTCACTGTTGAGCCTACCGATTGCCAATTTGCTTGCTTTTATTTCGCATTTTCTGCTAAAGTTTCCGACATTAATTTGCCTTCATTTGCATTTGATTCTCAGCGTAATTACGACTCTGCTTAATTCTGAATATCGCCCCCAACTGATTGACAAATTTCCTTGAAAATCAAATTACTATAAAATGTCAGCGATCAGTTAAATACCTAAATCAAAGTCTGTTTAATGTTTAATTCCCACAATCCAATCGGAATACATGTGTTTTTCGTCTGAGCTTCGTTTAAATTACAAATTTCTGATTTCGACATTAACATTCGACATTCGACTGACATATGCAGGTGTACAATATGGTATTTCGCATCTCATTTAAAGATGATACTATGTAAAATTCCGATTGTTGTTATGGCAGCCATAAGAAGGCTCATTAAAGTAGCTTTAACACTGAGCGAAACAGCCAATCGGCTGGTATAGCTAAATGGCACTAAGGATGTCTTCTTAAAGGCAAAGGAAAGCAGTTCGCATGGACATCAAGTATGCTGAGAAGTTGTCAATGCAAATATTGTTTATTAATTTCTTGAATCTGTGACTTTGCATAAACTAAATCGAAATGCAAATTTTGTTGACTAAATTAGCACCATGCTAACAAATGTGTTGAGCATTCGTCGTTGTTTTGCATAACAGTCAGCAATATACGTAGCTAATTAATGCAATTGCAGTCCAAATTATTTACAGCCACACAAGTTGCACAGACAGCAGCTCGAGCGGCCACAAGGCCGGCAACAAACTTGCAACTGAAACTATAACCGAAACCAAAACCAAAGCCAAGTCCAAACTCAACCAAAACCAAATCCAAATCCAGGCTGGGCATTCGCCAAATGTGCTGAGTCAGACGCCCAACCGCTTGCCGGGCGACGAACCGTGCCGGTCGGCAATCAGGCGTGCATTATGTTGACACGCCCACTCGGCCAGCCTGTCATCATGTTGTGTGTGTGTTGAGAGGGGGAAGGGCTTTGTTTGGGCCAGAAATAATGCCCCTCGCCAAGTGAAATAATTTGCCAGCGTTGCGGCATTTCATTTAAATATGTTAATCAAGGGCCAAGTAATTAAGTAAATTAAATGTCCTCTTCCTTTACCTCTGCTAGAGTCGTAGCCCCCAGCCACCAGCCCCTTCACCCTTTATCATTCTGCTGGCTGTCTGTCTGTCATGTCAAGTACTAATTTTTGCATGTTGATTTAAATTAACATAAATAAACGCATATTGCGGACTTTTCTGTATATATAATTTACACATATATTAAATAAATATAAATGTATGTGTTGTATGTGCTGGACATATGCATATATAAGTCTATTTTGAAAGCACATTTTCGAGTGTGTTAGAGCCTTGAACTGATCTGCATAATTTTAATTGTCAACAATTTGTTATGAAATGCCCCTCAGAGTGGCACTTGTCCGCGTGGACTCTACAAATGTCGTCGACATGCTCGTTAAAGCAGTGCCACGCCCATATTTTTCGAATGGAAGAGAAACGACAAATGAATCGCACTCATTGGAATTGTAGCAAGAGCAATTGATTTACGAAATTTAAGATTTGAAACGAGTAAAGTTTGTGCAACAATTTGATGTTTGATTTTTATTACGATTTAACAAAATGTGAGTTAAATTGAAACAAATATGGTTTGCTTCGTGTTTTGGTTTGGCTTCCTCTTGATTATGAATCGATTTATAGTGAATATAACTTGTAATCCCTGGCAGGAACCGGCTCAGCTGCAAACGGATTGACGCCTTGATTCGAATGTTCTCTTCTCGCAAGATCTATTTCTCTCTGTGTAGAGCATAAGTTTCAATTAATTGGCCGAATTAGATCCCATACCATTTTATCGATATATGACCCCGGAGAGCATTCTATAAGCTAATAGTGCGTTATCAGTTTCTGTTGACCGGTATTTCTTAGCTTATAAAATCAGCAGCAAACAGTTATAAATTGTGTTTCGTGACTTCTGTGCTCACATTTTAATTGCAAAACCGTTCGCCAATTTTTGAGCCAAAGGCGTAGCTATTGGTTGTTGCCAGGGGGGGGGAGGGGGGGGGGGCGGGTGTTGTCATGTAAAAGGGGTATATATTGTGGTGTTGGGGCTTGCACGCTGAAATGAGATTTTAACCGCAAATAGCAGCAAACAATTTCTGTTTTGGCCCGTGACGCTCCATGCGCTGGCAATAAAATAACAATCAACGCAAGCCGCGGCCATTCCGCGGTTAAGGAGAGGGAGTTGGGCGAAAACTTTGAAAAGCTGGCAGGAGCAGGAGGAGGAGCTGCCGCAGCAGCAGCAGCAACCGGTAACCAACATAGTCGGCCAACCGACAACAATGTTCGGCAACAAACCCACCCATAATCGAGAAGAGCGCACTTTATTTTGACCCAGCAAAAAGCACAGGCGCTCAACCACCCCCTGCTCCTCTTTCCTTCCCGCCTCAACACAGTCATAGCCTGGACAGTATTCTGTTTCAGAATCTGTGATTTTCAGATTTTCATTGCAAAAGTTGTTCAGTTCTCTGGGCTATTGTTTTCACAAATTAATGAAATAATTTCAATCTCTTAATTGAAGTTAATTGTCCATGGTGCTTAAAAGTTTCGAATAGTGCGGCAAGATATGATAATATACGACATATTGTATAGAAGAAGCTGGGTATTAGAGAGGGGCATGTGTTAGTTCAGTAAGTTTTCATCTATCCCCAACGAGCTGCTAAAAAGGTCATAATTAGTTCGAGTACTTTGAACACACAAAACTAGTTCGTTTTCAACATCAAATATATTTCAATAGTATAATTATTTAAGTTATGCACATGCATCATTTTTGCTTATAATCGATCTGTTTGTCTAGTTTCTTCACAGCTTTGACAGGTTCAGATCGTTTGGGTTTTTTTTTTTAACGTTTTTCTTTCTTTTAATATTAAAAAGTTACTTTTGTCTTCGTATCAACTTCGCTTCTTAAATATTCTTGTTCGCGCAGATTTTGTTTCGATTTAAACTTGAATTTTGATTTTGTTTTGAAATTAGTTTTGCAATTTAATTACGCCTAGAAATATAAAAAAAAAATGGGTTGGAAAATTGTAGTATGTAATTAAATTTTATTTGACATGTGCTAAGCTGTCATTGAATTCTGAACGAGTATAACGCATTCGGTTGTGTTTCTTTAAGTAAATAGATACAGCTACAGTAGTATAAGAGGACAGACAAGACAGATTGGTACAAAATTTGGTGTACAGATATGACCCATATATAGAGCGACAGACGGACGGGCACAGATTTGAAGCGGTAAGGATCAAAGAGTACAGAGTTAAATTTACTTGTTCTCCTGTAGAGGCTGCTCCGTGGCAGCCCCATCCTGGCCAGATTTATGGGCGGCTGGCTTCATGCGGCGAGCGTTGCGTTTGCGGCGAACTTTTCCGCGATGGTTGTTTCCATCCTCGTTTCTGTTTTCATTGTTACTCTCATTGCCATTGGCACTTCTAGTTCTTTTGCCATTTGCTACGCGTTCTTTGTTGGGCGTCGATGTTTTGGGCGTTGAGTCTGGCTGAAAGGACAGATTCTGGTCAAGAGTCTCTTTCCCGCCAGTTGTCGAAGCTGGCGAATTATTGTGTCTACGGCGGCGACGCGCAGCCTTGGCCACAGGCCTGATGTCGACCTTCTTGGGATCAAAATAACTATCCAGCAGGATGACTAGCTCAGTCTTCTCCTTGCTGGTCAGGCTCTCAATGGGCGCCAACGTTGAGATCAGGCCCTGCATGCGTATCTCATTCCAGATTTCGTTCAATATGCCCAAATCGAGGCCATTTTCGGCCAGTAAAATGCGAAATTTAACAGCACGCACACGGTGCACCGTGGTCTTGAAGTAGTTTAAAAATAGTGGGCGGAACGAGTTCTGGCGCTTTAGATTCACGTTCTCCAAAGCCAAGTCACGGATTTCAATATCAATGGTATCGATGTATGGGCTTAGTGCTTGGCATAGGCTGCCGGAATCCTTGGAGGAACGCGGCTCCCGATCGCACAGCTCGACGGCCACATTGAATGCCAGCTTGGCACGTGCATTGGCGCTGCCAACAAACTCCTCGAGCACATTGTCCTCCCTGCCCTTGTTGAGGAGCTTCGATAGGTTGCGCACATTGAAATACATGCGATCGGCACCGCCCATCGTGGCCATGGCCAAATTATTTGTATTGACAAAGCCTTTAACTAATTTGGCGAATGCGGTTAGCATATTAAGGTTGATCAGCGATTGTACTATCATGAGGGGTATAAATTTACGCTCCTCATGGCAAATGAGCACAATGCCGTCGCAATTGGAATTCTGCTCTTCCAGCCAGCCAATTAACTTCGTAAAGCCCGCGGCTTCAGATTCTGTTCTAATTATCTATATACATAGTAATTGGAATATCTTAGGAATATCCCGAAATTAACTTATATTCGTTTTCTAGATTCACCTTGTTCGATTGCATCGATTTCAGCACACGATGGCCTTTCACTTTAATAACACAAACCTGATGGCGCTGTCGGGCAGCCGAGTTTAGATTCACAGATGGCATTATGTATTGCTCGAAGTGTTCAGTTGGCGTGAACGCGGCCAACTGGAATATCTGGAAAATTGCAACCAGTTAGTCGGTTCTCCAGTCGAACTTTTGCTTAGTATACCTTGTCACAAAGGCGACGTCCAGTTGTGTCTATGTCGATGCCAATAGCCTTAAAGTTGCCGCACTCCGGCTTTCCGTGCTTCGTATCTGCATTTGCTACACTATCTCCAATGATATCGGGCAGCATTGTGCTATATCTAATATGTACACACTTCTCATCCAATCGTATTTGGTAATACTAAGGATCCAAGGATATAGTTTGCTATTCGAAAAGGTTTCAGCAGTAAAAAAGAGGATGGTTTTTTCATATACCTTGACTTTCTCTCGTCTGTGTCCAATAATGTGCTCTCTGCGATTTCGTTCGACGAGCTTTAAATAAGTACAAACAATTCGTACGACTATTAGACACGAAGTGACTTCCTTTAGGTCTGACGCCTATAGGTAGGTTTATGAAAATAAAAGCAGAGACTACTTGGATATAGACGAACTATTTAACTCATAGAAGAACCATAAAGTATATGTAGTCGTCCGCCGAATCCGACCTTCACATATATACATATATAAAATATAGTTGCGATTACCCGCTTGAAAAGTAATAAAATTTATTGGCTTCAATAATAATGTATAATTAAATTTATTCACTTTATTTTGTTTATTCCTTTTGAATTTATTTATTCTACGTTTTAATAATAATAATATCACGTATCAATGGAGATCCAATTTAATAGCTGCATATTTGTAAAAGCATTTAGTATAGATATAACAAAATTGATGTGTAAATTTATACGTACCATGTATTAAATTGTGTATAAAATTGCTTTTAATTAGCTGCAAGCGCGACTGGTTCAAGTGAATCTGTAATTGAGCCATAAATTTATATATTTATTACACTGGCCAATTTTACAAATTGGGCTACCATTGAACCCGCCCCTCGAAAGGGCTCATTTGGCTTGGGGGCAAGTGTTAAGTGGCTCTCGCTTCCCCTGCCGTCTGTCCCTCGGATGTGTTTCGCTTCTGTCCGGCGCTGACAATTTCAATTAAGTTCGACTTTGGCCCGAAAGTATGCAACACATGTTTGCACTCAGCTGCGCACAAGACGCCAACTATAGTCGTAAAGGACGCACAACTGTACATAAATATCGCATGACTTTGGTGTAAGTTAAAGCAATGTGCACTCAGCACTTAAGCACACTCCTACCCACTTACACACATACACACACATACAAGCACACACACAGAGCCAGCGAGATGAAAAGCGTATGTAAAATATATTTTCACGCGCCGCAGTGAATAATTCAGCAGCTCTGCCAAGCCCATCATCAAGTGCTCCACCCGAAAATGAGTTACTTTACATAACTAAGTAATTGGCGGGCCTCAGTGACAGCGGCTCAAACGTGAAATTATTATAAACAAACCATTTGGCAGTCGTAAAAAACAAACAAAAAAAAAAAGTAACAAGAAAAAAGAGAACGCAAAAAAAAAAAGAAATTTTGGTTGCTCACATAAAAAGCGGCGGGAAATTTCTTCATTATGCTGAGACGCGCCCGCAAAAAGCGCCCGAATTGCCAATAGGAGCAACAAAAGTATAAAATATAAAACATATTTAAATGTAATAAAGCAACAGCAAACATCAGACACAAGAAACGAGATACCAGACGGCGGGGCCAATATATCCAGTCCTCGTCATTCCCCTCGACCATTTTTTATATTGGCACATGTAAAAATTTATAAAAGTCGTATCAGATGCCGCAGCCATGTCCACACTTTTGAACATTTTTAAATTAAATATTTTCAGACCGTGAATTGTATTTTATTTGTATCCTATTACCCTGAAGCCAGGTATGTACCATCGCCTTATAAATCAATTTAATGCAACAAATATGAATAATTCAATATAAATTTTTGTTAATTAATTGTTAATTATAATGCTAAGAGATATACTTAAGAGCTAGAGGTGAGCGTAGTGTAGGTTCCAATTATTGTTCTCAATGATATATATTTCAAAGCTTAATGATAAAACTAGCTGCTATTACTGGGACTTGCCTGGCCCAAATGTGTTTCATTCATTTAAAATCAAAGCTTCAAAGTTTGTGTGAACCCTCGTATACCAAATGCAGAATAAGTTTACTTCACTTTTCTGCTAATTTACCTTACTGCATATTGCCCCTCTACGCGATTCTAATGAATTCGAGTAAGTCTCGCAGTTTTTCGTGCTTTGAAGAAGTGATTACAATCTCTCTCTGTCTCTCTGCTATTATAGTCTCTTTCTTTTTCCTACTCTTACATTATCTAATTAATTCAATATTTATTTTTGTAGTAGCTCCCTTATGTTGACAGAACACCATCAACTATATGTTTGTGTGGATTTGAATGTTTGGGAATATGTGTTAAGGTAAGTTATTCCTGGGCAGGGGTTAGCAATCTTCTAGTTTAATATATATTGATGTAATGACTTTCCACTATGTCAGCATGCTTGGCTTTTCCCATCTCAATTCATAACTAGTGTCGCATAATGAAAGGCACTCGTACATTGGCTGCTACGTTCAAAGAAAAATATATAAAACATTGAACAGCTTATGGCTATGCCAAGAGATTAGAGCACTGATCCAGGAACCTGCATAAGCTGGTTTTTCAGCCGCGGCTGCTTTTGTTGTCTGCGATTTGTAAAACGAATTTCATCCGGCCGTAGTCGCATTCAGTAGTCAATCCCGGAGCTTCAGTTTCAGTTGCGGGGCGCTCAACCAAAGCGCCATACAATTTAATATAGTCCTCAGCACAATGGCACAGCGAATAGGCGGCCAGGCGTGGTCATGGCCAGCGGCCGAGGCATAAAAGCGCGGCAAGAGTTCCATAAGGGGGATGACGGCTGCAAGAGGTCAGCTCTTGGTCTAAGCTGATGTAGCATGTCAACTGGTTGCATTGGTTGGGCTTCTGGAAATGCGGCTGTGTCTGCTGCTGCACTTTCACCTGCCTGGCCCAGGCTCTCTGTCTGTCCGCAATTGAAATGCACTTCAAGTGAATGACGGCGTTTAATTTGCTGGCTATTGGGGCTTAAGTCTCGCATTAACTCAAACTGAATGCCATGCATTTTTGATTAAGTTGAAAATTCTCTGAAATTGCCTCTGGTCTGCTTTCTCTATCCATCTGTATCTCTCTCTCTCTCCCTCTCTCAATCCCACAATTGTGTATCTCTCGCCACATACACAATGGCTCTGCCGCAAAGCCTTTGCTCCCTGCCCCTACACATAATTGTCGCAACATTTCTTGCTTCAAGTTGTATCTTTTATTCAATGAAAATCGATTGTACAAATATTTCGCTCATCAAAAACTTCAAACAACTTTCGGCACTAAAAAGACTCCACACTCCGCCGCAGTCAGACACACAGACCGTCCTTTGCTTAAATTTCTGCTTGTCCATTGTTGTTGTTTCTCTTTTTCTCTTTACGAAAGAAATTGTGTGTGCCACAGGCATTTTCCAGAAAATGTTTGCCTTACGGTGACCTTCAATAGGATTTTACTGATTTGCGGCTCTTCAATTAGCAAAGGACCGAAAATGTGTGTCGTGTCCCCACTTCTCTCTAGAATTTGACTGGCATCCGCTGTACATTTCAAAGAACTCATGCAAAATACATTTCAAATACTTATTTAAGTAGAATAACTAAGTGTGCATTCAATATTTTTTACATTTATAATTTATAAATTTTTTTTTATTAATATATATAATTATTAATATTAATTTATATTAATATATATTAATTAATATATAAGAGATAGCAAAAATTGAAGAACGTCCATCTTCGGCACGACGAAGAATAAAAACCCTTAAATACATTTGTTTGGTGGTTTTGTAGATATGCCGGCCGGTTCTGACAGTAAGTCGAACCTATGGAAAGTTCTAAGACTATATTACATATACTAGCAGGTATTTCCCCGTTGCCCGTGGCAACCTTTGTGTTTTAAAAAGTGCGACACAAAAAATATTTCAAACAAGAGCTTTCTTTTCGACCGATCGTTCTATAGGCAGCTATAAGATATACTTGTCCGATTCCACCGGCTCCGCTATACATATATGCTGCCTGCAATAGAAAAGTTTTGTGACAATATTTTTGAATCTGAGGGCTTAGTTTGTACAGAAAGAGATAGACGGACAGGGCTATATCGACTCGGCTGATGATACTGATCAAGACCATATATACTTTTACATATCACATGTCAAAATTATAAAACCCTATACAAGGGTATAAAACCAATGCAGAGCAGACCGTCTTAAGAGTGCCGAAGGTTTTTGACTTCTCTGTAAATAATCTTGCCAAGCTAAATGGCCGTCTCTTTGTTCCTGTGCCGACTTATCTTAAGAGGATAATTTTTTGTAATTCGTGAATGCGGTCAAGATATACAAAAAGGAAAAAGTTTTCAACGCAACGATTCAATTTGGGCTATAAAAGTTTTAAGTTATAGCGATCCGATTTGATTGGCTCCACAATACTTAACTCTCAAAAATGTTCAACAATGTATTTAAACAAAGCATTTTCATAGCAATTAATCATTTAATCGTCAATGGATTTCCGGAATTTTTACAGCTGCGGTTGCCAAATCCCCAATCCCAGCCCCTGGCTAAGCAGCCGACTATTATTTAGGTTTGTGTTGGCAATTATGGCATTCAGTTGTTCGTCGGTCTGACTCTGAGCTGCCCACGTTAAATCAAGCTAATGAACTGTTAATTGGACAAGGGTCGGGAGAGGGTGTTTGAGTGTGGGGGAAAGGGTGCATGAGAGCTGCCAGCATGACGCACTTTGGGTTGGGATACATTTTTGAGTGCGAGTATTTTTGGGAATTCAATGGAATCAATTTTGTAAATAATTAATATGCCCTTTAATTACGTGTGGCCCAAGGGAGCTCGGCGGGGGGATTGGCGGATGGGCGCCGCAGACAGGACTTGTATATATTTGTTCGGGGTATTTATCAGCCTAATTGCATAACACTTTTGCGGTTTTATGGCTAGAAATTTGCAATTAAATATGAACAAAATGGCGACGGAGTGTGTGTGTGTGTCTGTCTATGTTCTTTTGTCAGTCTCCAGTCTCCATCTCTCTAAATGACTAGTAGAATTAATGTTTATTATACCTACACGCAATTATCCATTATCATATCAAAACAACATACTCAAATGACTGTGAAATATGCGAACGCCCATTGACATCATTGTGATATTTAATTTTCGAATGACTAATTGATGTAATTGATGACTGGCCTGATATTAAAACATATTAAGTGTTAAATAAGTTGTCAATGTGAAAAATATAGGCAGCTGAGTGTGAAAAAGGTAGCCTACAAAGTAAGCGCTCTCTGTGAAAACTCAACCTGACAATTTTTTTTGATGGATCATGCAATT